GGTTTGGGATTGACAGAGTGGTCAGAAGTAAAAAGGTAGGAAAGGTTTATTGACTTAACAAACACACAACTACACGTAGTATAACAAGACAACAATGACAGACAATAAAATTCTGAGTCGGCAACTTATTAGCAGTCCCCTCTGATGCCTGGTATACAACAAGCCTCAAAATTCAATGAAATCTGGAGTCCCCAATCTGTGCTGTCTAAAGGGTACTGGGAAGTCCTTGGGCTCCTCGAGATCCACTGGCCCACTGAATCCAGGTCAGCAGCTTCTCTTTACAATGATAACTTCCTTTACCACGCTGCCTGTTCCTTCTGCCAATTCCCAGATGTGCTAGAAAATTTATAACTTCTGAGCTATGCTTTTGGCTCACAGCCACTCACAATCTTACACCACAAACTTTCCTTATATGACTAAGGCTTATATGAAGCACAAGCCTTCGCGTTGTCCTTATAAGATTAATTTCAGCTGTGCCACTGATGACAAGGCTGGCCTTAACCAGTTTTTTTAAACTTTTAACTAAACTTTTAGCTATAGCATACATTTTGCAAACCACAAACAATCAACAGGAAACACCTGGTCTAAATATTACAGAGCATTCAGCAAGCACCTTAACACACAGACACTACTTTCAGCTATTACACTCCACCCCTTGCTTGCTAAAGCACTGTGATGGCTACAGTTGAGATGCTAGAGCTACATGGGCTACATCAGGGAACAGGGAGGGATTTTTGAGTTTAACTTGCATGGCATGGACTTGTGAATGAACAGATTTATGACAACAACTGTTAAAACACCATTTAGCTACTGCTACTAAGGCAATACAGAGGACTATAATACTTCATGTGGTCAGCCAAGTAGTTGAGGTAATATACAGTGACATGCAAACAGCACAGTACTATTTACATGGCTCAGGCACATTGACAGCTAAACTGATAATTTGCTCACCCTCCCAAGCAAGGAGGGCTAATTGAGTGCCTTGCCGAGCTTTTGCCTTAATGATCCACAGCTTATCTTTTACCTCATTCCAGTTTTCTAACCATGGCATGTCTATGTCTGATACTCATGAAGTGGGTATTGTAAAGTTTAGGATTATGGTCCCAGAAGAAATTTCTGGCCATTTTAGGGCAATAATATGGTTGCTTAGTTGTAACAGAGCAATGGCTTTGCTCTTAGATCTTAAGTAACATGAGCTGCACAAGGTCTAGGTGGTACCATTTTCATACAGTAAGCGACCTGGTCCTTCCTAACAAACACATTGCCCTATTGTCACATATGACACATCAGGTAGTTCGTGTACACGGGTCATATTGGGTGGGTTTAGAGGCCATCCTTTCCATAGGGTTCCTAATCCAATTAAGATGTTACTGATTTGAACTAGGAGGGATTGTGCTACATACCGAGGGCTATCTGGGTTAACTATCTCCCGTATGGGGCGATGCAGATTCCAGTCCTAAAGGCATTTTCCTCCCAGACCTGTGCTAAGCAAATAAGCAGTAGTCCAGCTTCCATTCTTTACCTCATGCACCCGAAATGAACACTTTCTTTTATTACAGCCTTCCCAAATGGTAATCCAGGTGCTTTGATAGGAATATCTCTCTTCAGATGGTGCGGGCATTCCATGATGCTCTAAGCCAGGGGGCCATTCCCTATTTTTAATGTTGTTTATTACCTGGAAAAAAAAATGCATGTTTAATCATATGTGAACTTGCGCACAAGCAGTACTCCAGGTTTGATTTTTATTTGCTCTAAAAGTAGTGTCCATCATGGCCTGGGCAAGATGGGCTGTCTCTAATTCTACATTTGTTATCAATTCATAAGTGTGCTCTAAGGTTTTTCTCTAGAGCATGCCTCCCCTAGTGAGCAGTCCTACTGCTTGTCAGAGATTGGTTACTTCTTCAGCATTTTTCTGGGATTTGTCTAAGTTATATACATTCATAGCTGAGTTAAGTCTGTCCTAAAGATAACCTGGAGCATCTCTTCGTTTGTGGGCCCTAACTGTATTCATGGAATGGAAAATGGTTGACCATTCCCACCTAAGTAACCCCTTAGCTACACAGGCTCCTGCTGAACAATTTAGAAAGGTAGCTCGAGCCTACCATTGTTCCAGTCTGAATAATACTCAGGCAGTGAAAAATTAAGTGTTTAGGAGGGTTGGGGTTTTAACCTGTGACCACCACCAGGGTGTGGTGTTATACCCAGGCAGTGTCAGGGCTTCCTGAGGGGGAATGAACAAAGACAATAGTGAACACCCTGTCCCCTCACAGCTTATGTTTATCCTTCCTGCTTTGGGAGCCTGCAACCATGCTTCACCTCCTAAAGAGTGGAAGAGCTCCCACTATCGCTCATGTGGACGATGTTGTACCAGGTTGGTGAAATGGCATTGTCCTGGCAGAATCATAGCACTAATTTGCTTTAGAAATCCTACTGGTATAAAAGGATAGGGATAAGTGGGGAGACTTGCAGATACAGCCTTCTTTTAGTTGTATTAAAGTGAGTACCATTCTACCATGTCTCTGTGTAGGTATAATTTACAAACCATGTAATAACCTTGTTCTAACCCGTAGCATGCCCTCCCACCTGGTGAGCCCCACACCACTGGTGGAAAGCTTCATTGGCCATAGGAATGGGAGGGGGCAGACTGTCCCATAAACACAGTGGCTCAAGTGACTGAACAGATGTGGAATGCACCACTGGGGGTACAGACTCAGGGGGCTGAGCTCCTTGCCAATCAACTATTCTGTTCTTCCTGCTCAGAGGCCAGGATTTTACCTGCTCCAGGGTGGTGGGTTTCTTCTAAGATGGATACTGCAGCTGGACTATGTGAAGGTCATCTGAGCGCATTTCCGGGCCACCTCTTTAGATCTTCAGGAATAAGTTTGTTACTATCAGGGTAATAAGGATAGTAGACATGCCCTACCCAAGAAACACGATAAGGCATTAGTCAGAAGAATACAGTTATAACAGTCCACTACTTCATGGTCCTAGCTGATTCAGACAGCTGATAGAACAGGATTTGTCTTCAGTTGCAGGCTCAGTTAGGAATGGCTAGGGCCGCTCTTGTGGACAGATCCAATCTGCGGGCACAAGACAACAAGGAGCTTGGCTCCCATTAGATTAATCTGACTTAAATACCCACCGGGTATTATGCATACCTTTTGCCAGTAATGTCCTCTCCCATTTATCTCCCTGAGGATGTTTCACTAACACTTGATCCCCTGCCTGGAGCTTTCCCGGGTCACCACCCTTAGGTCACTCTACTGCCAGCTTGTGGGGGCTACCCAATCCAAAGGCCTGTTGCACAAGGCTACCTCCTGAATGAGGTTGGTTATTGGCTTAATTGATAGATTGATCCAGGTGCAAGTCTCAGTCCTTAAGGGTGGCTAACCGCAAATTACATTTGAGGATGCCATTGGCTCACTCTACCAATCCATTAGACTGTGGATAGTATGCGATGTGATATGTCCATAACATGCCATGTTTTGCGGTCCAGTCATACAAAAGATGATTGCAGAAGTAAGAGCCATTATCACTCTGTAATTCAATAGGTGGTGGATACATGGCCAACAAAGTTTCCAGGGCTGCACAAGTGTTCTGGGCAGTAGCTTTTGCTGAGGCATGGGCAAATGTTATCCCCGTGATAACTTCTATGGCTACAAACATGTACTGCCACTTACAGGAGATTTGAGGGAGGAGGTCTATAATATCACATCGCCATACTTGCCACGCTACCTTTCCCCCATGTAATGACAACGGGACAGTTGGGAAAGGTTTTAGTCACATCTTGCCCTCTCGGCAGGTGATGCAAGCATTAACTATTTCTTGTACTTCTTTCTTAGTTACATGAATGCCCCAAGGCGTGGCCAAGTGGGTAGTTCCATCACGCCTGGGGTGCCTGTGTTGTTGATGTAGCCATTCTGCAGCTCGTTCTCCAGGCGTGCAGTAGGAGGAGGAATCAGGCAATGATGGACTAACTGCTCCATTTTTTTCTTCAACATACAAGGTTTCAGCACCCTCTTCCCTTGTCAGCTGATCAACCTGCCTATTCCACTTTGCATCTGGGCCTTCCCCCATCTTATTCCCATGCGCTGCACTAACATGTTGGATATATAAGGGAAGCCCATCTTGGGCCATCTTCCACAAGGCCTTCCATAGCTCATGGCTCCAAAAGTCCTGTCCTCATCTTATAAAGTTGTCTTTGTTCCATAAGGGTAGCCATTTAGTGAATCCCTCCACCACCATCCAGGAGTTGCAATAAATATAAATGGATTTTACAAGACATGGACCATTCAACAATTCTCACTCAGCCACGGCTGAGTGTACTAAGAGGACAGCGGTTTGCCCTTGAGCAAGACTTTATAAGGGGTTCCTTTCTCCCCCTTCCAGTCTGTAGAATCTAAAATGCAAATCTGGGCACCCGTGTCTAATAGCATATTGATTGGCTCTTACCTAATTGAATCTGTCTGGGTATCTGAATTAACGGGCCAATATTAGATGCCAGTCCCCAGCCCACTACCACCCCCATGGTGGCCCCTTCCCTTGGCGGTTGGGCCAGCCGGACTTCCTAGGCCATGCGATTAGAGGAGGTAAGTGATGGTGGCCCCACATGTGCCTAGGAAAATGTTGACAGTTCCGCCCTTAGGGCAGAAAATAACCCCGGTGACACTGACAATGGTGCAGAAGGTTCCACTTTCGGGCTTGAACCTTCACTACAGTGTTTAGCCCACAGCCCTTGCAGGACATTGGTGGGCAGTCCATTGATTTGTAACTTATTGAAACCAGCAGCCAACAAGTCTTCCCACATCTTTGTTCATGGAGCCTTGGGCCAGCCTTTCCCAGCTTTTCCCAACTATTCGGGGGGGGGAGGGTCAGGAGGTTTGTCCTTTCCTGAGGCCACCACCATGGCCTGGGCAGTTCTCATTGGTCTGGCAAGTCCTGGCTTCTGGAAAATGGGCAGAAGCTGCACTAATCACTAGATTGCATCTCTTACTGGGTTGTTCACCTCCTCTCGCTCCAAGACCAACAGGGCTGAGGTGCACTCCATTGGTGCTCACAGGCAGAACCTTCTCCACACCAGTGCTGTCACGACTTCTTCATCTAACATGTGAGTCTAAGCTCCTACACAAATGATGTCAGTCAGCTCTAACTGATACAAACAGCGGACAGCCTCCTCTAAATTGGCCCATGCCCGAGGGGTGGGGTTAAGCTCTTCTTCCATATTATCACAACTGGCGGGGGTCGCCTGTAGCGCAGCAGAATACAAAGTAACATTTTCACCAGCTCCTGCAAATTGATTCAACTGGAGTTTGGGGTGCAGTACTAGTTGGGCAGTCTCAGCACGGCTCACTGATATTGCTGAGGCCCCTTCACTATACAGTTGAACTAGCCAGTGTATTACCGGCTGCCCTGGCTTGGATTTATGCTGCTCCTGTATATCTCGAATCTCCACATGGGTAAAGGAGCATAGCTCTGTTCAGGGGTTTCCCTTTGTGGCCCCAAGCAAGTCACTATTACTGCAAATGCTTAACCGAACTCCTCCCTCCGGACAGGGATATATGGGGGCGGTTTAGCACGAGGCCCGTAATCAATCTCCTCCCCCTCATCTGTCCCCTCCCCATGATCTTCCCAGAGCTCTACTTCTGGTTTCTTGCCATACAAGCACTGTCGCACCTTCTTGAAGGGGGGCTCCACAGCCTGTGCCAACTGCGCCTCCCTCTGAAGGGAAGCAACCATGCGCACAATCATAACCTTTCCTTCCCTTTGCTCTAACGTGTCCAAGAGACTCTGGGCAGCTCATGCAGCCTCACATACCACACTGTTTGAATCCCTTACGTCCTCCAGCTCTTTACTCTATCAGGTGACCTTGTCCCAGAGCTGGGCATTCTTTTCAGCCCCTAACTGCAGGCACATGGCCAGCAGCCATGACAGGCACCTCTTCTTGGGTTTACTTCGGGCGACAGCAGCAAATCTAACCCACTAATTGGGTACGGTTCCTGGTCACTCCAGGCAGGCCTCAACCTATCCTTATCCCACCTGGGATTCTCCGTCCCTGTTACTTCCTTAAGTAAAGCCACCAACGGAGCCCACCCAACTCCCTCCATTCTGAACGTTCTCTCTAGGAAACACCTAGTCTAAACATCACAGAGCTTTCAGCAAGCACCTTACCACACAGACACTACTTTCAGCTATAACAGAAAGGGACCTCAACAGGTCATTGGGCCTGACCCTCTGCCTAGGCAGAAAAGAGTGCCGGGGTCAAATAACCCCAGCCATATGCCTATCCAGCCTTCTGTTAAAGACCTCCAAGGAAGGGGAGAGCACCACCTCCCTTGGAAGCCCATTCCAAATTTTGGCCACCCTTACCATGAAGAAGTTTTTCCTGATATCTAGCCTAAATCTGCTCTCTGTCAGTTTGTGACCATTGTTCCTTGTTACCCCAAGAGGTGCCCTGGTGAACAGAGCATCTCTGATTCCTTGCTGCGTCCCCCTAATAAAGTTGTAGGCAGCCACAAGATCACTTCTCAGCCTTCTCTTGCAGAGGCTGAAGAGCTTCAGGTCCCTCTGTCTCTCCTCATAGAGCTTGTCCTGTAAGCCCCTAACCATATGCATGGCCCTCCTCTGGACCCTCTTGAGTCTATCAACATCCTTCTTGAACTACAGTGCCCAAAACATGCAGTACTCCAACTGCGGTCTGACCAATACTGCATAGTGGAGAAGTATCATCTCCTTAGATCTATTTATCATGCATCTGCTGATGCACAATACAGTGTGTTTAGCTTTGCTGATGATTTCATCAAATTGATGACTCATGTTTATCTTGGAGTCCATTACGACTCTGAGATCCCTTTCCACTTCTGCTCTGCTGAGAGGGTCACTTCCCAGCCAGTAGGGATGCTGGATATTTTTCCACCCTAGTGCAGTGCTCTGCATTTGTCCTTGTACTACATCCTATTGTGTACTGCTCACTTTTCTAACCTGTCCAGGTCTGTCTGCAATTGTTTCCTACCCTCCGGAGTGTACACTTTACCCCACAATTTAGTACCATCCACAAACTTGGTCAGAGTGAGCTTCAAACCCACATCCAAGTCACTGATGAAAAATTTGTTGCAAAATTTTAACTTGCTGGGAATATACCTGTTGGAAAATCTTAATTTTAATAAATAAAACTGTGGGTTATATTAACAACTAGCATGTTAAATCCAGCAGATAAAAAAAGTTCTTATTCCTGCTTTTTCCTGCTTTATTGCTTGATATAGAGCATGATCGTACTCCTACTTTACCTTACTCTTGAAGATCTTCTGTGCACTGAGAATAAAGCAGAATTATATAACAGGTGAAGATTATGCAGGAAGGAAAATGGTCATTTGAATATTCTCCTTAGGCAGAATTGACTATCTGATACCATAAGAACATTTTTGCTAGGGGCGGACATTCAAAAAGCCAGAGCCTGAATTGATTCAATTTTTGCAGGTTAGTCTAACGTGCATAGTGTGAACCAATTTGCAAGTGAATAGACATTCATTGTTAACTCCAGAAATGCAAGCACATGCCTATAGTCACTCATGCCAGGAAACGATGGGGAGAGGGACTGGAGCAGCCCTTAGCTGGTTCCGGGAGGGGGGCGTGGCTAGCCCAGGAAGTAGCCTGGAATAAAATGGCCAGGGATGGGGTTTAATTTCCCCCCTCCCTGTCCCAGTAGCATGAACCCAAGCCAGGGCCTGCCCAGTGTTCCCCCCTCACTGCTGCAGGAGGGGCATGGCCAGAAGCCAACTGGCATGGCCCCCTGAGGCAGAAGGGACAGAGAGGGGAGTCCTCTGCCCCTGGAGGACCACAGTTGAGGTCTGCCTTCCCCAACTGCAGCTGCTGCCCCAACTGCCACCACTGCCACTTGCTCTCTGTGTGGGCCAAGTGGAGGGATAAGCCCCCTCCTTGATCACTTCACCAGACATGGGATAAAGTGGGGAATACCCCACCTCCCTGCCTCTTCACCTAAGGGGCCAAGCCAGCCGGCCTCTCGCCATGCTCCCACCCTGGCTGCTGGAGCACCAAGGGGGCAAGGCCCTTGAAGGGGGCAGCACCCCGTGTCATCGTGTCTGGAGAGTGCAAGCCTCTTCCTGGCAGAGGGGCCACAAGTGGGGGTTCAGAGCTGTCACACATTGCACAGGATGAGTGGTGGCACCGAGGCTTAGAGTAGTGGCCATAGCCTCCCAAGCCCTCCTATGGTGGGGATGTGGCCAGAGGCCAGCTGGAATGGTCCTTAAGGTGAGGGGGCAGGGAAGCAGACTATTTCCCCCTCCCTCTCATGTCTGGAACAGGGGGCAGGAGGGGGCATATCCTGCCACTTGCACTGTGCAGGGAGCATTGGTGGTGGCAGTCATAGCTGGCCAACCCTGACCATGGTCTCCTGGAGAAAGGGGAAATAAACCCCCTCCCTGCCTCCTCTGCCTCGGGGCCATGCCAGGTGGCATCTGGCCATGCCCCCACCCCTGCCACTGCATCAGCAAGGTGGGAGGGCCCAACAGACCGTGGCTCAGGTCCGTGCTGATGGGAAAAGTAATGGGGATTTAGACCCCCTCTCTGGCCAGTTCACTGCAGGCTACTGCCAGGGCTAGTCATGCCCCCACTAGTGGAGCAGCCAGTAAAGAAATGCCTGACAGATCCATATTGGTGGGAGCGGGGAATAAACCTCTTCTGTGCTCCCTTCTGGGGCTAGCATCTGGCCCGGTCCCTGCCCCTGCTCCAGCTAGGGAGCAGAGGGTTGGAGACAGCCCTGATTCACTGGAGCAGAAATCACAGCTCAGTCCAGAGAAAATGCTAGGATGCTGGGCAATTCTGGTTTAACTTAAAACAAGAAGGGATCTGGGACAGAAGTTGCATAATTCAGTTTGAGCTGAATAAGTTAAGTCTGATACTACAGCCAACCAAGTTTATTTCAAACTGGTTTCAGCCATTTTTAAACTGGTTTATGTGCACTGAACTTATGTTATGTTACAGATTTAAACCAGTTTCTGATCACTTAAATCAGTTTATGTGTAACTTCTGTCCCTAGTCTTTGGGACTGAGAGGCAAATTCCAGATATAGATATTCTAAGATAAGATGGGAATGGCTTGAAACTGAAGGATGGAAACTTGAAGTACTTAGTCAAATAAAAATGGCTGTTAATGAATTCTGCTAGCTTTGGTACATGGACATTGCAAGTGAATCTACTACACATGTGCTTTACTGCAGAGTTGACTAGTTAGGTCCATAGTAAAGTGTCACCATCTACATATGCACCTGAATTAGGGTGCAGTAAATGAATTAACTTCACTGTAAGATAGTACTGTCCAGGACAAGTACTTTCCTACAGAATAGCAGAATAGTTAGATGCACCAAAACACACATGTAGATGGTGACTGGAGCTGTCTGAGGCACAAGGGCACTATAGTACAGGGGCTGCCTTCTGGCTAGGTCTGCATTGTAGCACCCTCCTGCCTCAGTTAGCTCCTCCACAGCACATTAAGCTGGAGCAGAGCAGCCCTAGACTGACAGGATGGCCCCCCAGGTCCCCTGCTAACTGGTGCTGCTGTGCCCCAGATCAACACGTTGTGGTCTCAGGCAAGCACATGTGTCAACACAGCACCCAGAAACAATAAACTGCAGCATGGATTACACCAGAGTTTATTGCTACATGCTAACTGCATGTGTAGCTACACCCTGCAAAGTTAAAATGGCCTTTACTTCTAATAGAGGAAGACTCAAGCCAAGACCTTGTATCAAAGCTCCACTCACCATTGGTGATATATAAATCTGAATCCAAAACTTAATATTGTGGCTGAGGAAAAAAATAGGTACTGTTATTTCTCCTAAGAACTAAATTTTTGAGAAGTTATAGTAAAATATAGTTTCACAAACATGTTATCATATAATAGAACTTCAGAGAGCTGACCAAAATCCTGTAGTTTTTTTTCATTACCTAACTGAGGCTATTGTGGGGGGGGGGGGGC